CCCTGTCTCTAAAGTATTTGCTGTCTTAATGACTTCTGTTGTTTCTTCCATTCTTGTACTTTATTCTGTAGCTATTCATATAACTCTGCATCAATATATTTCTTCCTGTTCTCTACCTCTGTTGTATACCTTTTCTTTCTGGCCCATTATTTCTTCCATTATTAATACATTCTTCCATAGCTGTTCAAATACCTCTTCATCAATATATTTTTTCTGGTTCTCTACCTCTAGGTTATTCAACATAAATCTTCTGCTTCCCTGACTCTAAGGTATTCATTGGGTCTGAAATATTCTCTGCTCTTTTTGAAGAAGGCTTAATTTGTTTCTCACAGTGTTTTTGAAGCTGCCTACTGCTTTCTTGACATTATGTGACATTTTTCTTTAAAAGTGTTAGGCTGTTTCTATTATGTCTGCATAAGTTGTTTATAGTTCTTTTCTTTATTATGTTCTTGATTAGTTGCCAGCTTAAAATGTTCACTCTACGGGGTGAGCCACTCGCTCACTAAAAATGCTTTCTGGGAAATTTTGCCTTTTCTACCAGTTCTCTCTGGTCTGCAGTGCAGTCCTGCAGACATCTCGCCTTATTGTAGTCCCTGTTCTCAAACTCTATTGTCCTCCTTTGTCTGCAGAGTGGCTGAGTGCTATAAGACTAGTTGCGCCACTCAGGGCAGTTTCTGTCCAAGGGAGTTTCAAGTTAGCTCTCCTGCAACTCAATGTACCAGCTGAGAAAGACTTTCCTCTGCTTGTAGTTAACTGTCCCAAACTTTCTTGTCCTTTTTTTTGGCCCCTAGGACAGCCTCATGGCTGTGGTAGCAAGGATCCCCAAATGGAATGGCGTTTCTGTCCTTTTTCTCCCCTCAAAGTAAGTTATATCTTTTTAATTACTTCTTGTGCACCTGAAGTTGGATAATAAATAAGTGTGGCAGAAGAATCAATGCCTTTGTCATATTTAAAGCATTTTTCCACTGAAAAAATTAATTATTACTTTCCCAGTGCATACATATTTTATGGTGCTATGATAATGAAATAACATTTTATAATGAAATTATGTAAAATAGGTTGGTTTATGCTATAACCAAAAAAAAAGGAAAAGTAGGCTTCTAAGATATAACTTAACATAAATATTAGACTAAATATGTGGCTCAAAACACAACTTTAAAAATAGTTTCAAGTTAATATATCTGGGCAATTAAGTTTAAATATCATTAATAGTAGACTATTTCTTGAGTTTCCTTGCTTCCCCAAATATTCATGATTTATCATGCTATATGACCCAAAATATCCAGACATTTAAGTCACTTACTCTTCCAATGATCGATCAAGGCCCCGATCTGGGGATCGATGGTGAGCACGGTCTGGTGAATGACATTTGGTATTCGCCTTTATTGTAGTACTCATGTGGTATGCATTACTTGAATAATTTTGGCGGCGAAGTTCTTGTACAGCTCTTTCCCTAAAACAAAATATTGATGCTTTTAAAATTTATATTCAGTGACATGATGAAAATTGCCATAAACTGTAGGTTAAATCATACTTTCAAACTTAACCATCATGAGAAACTAAACTCTGTTAACTAGAAAATTATGCTTTCCAGGCTAAATGTTGTGTGAAGATAAACTTACCTTTCGAAGCGCTCTGTCCCAAGTTGTCTTTTGGTAATATCCAAATCAGCCTCTAGCTGTGTTACTACATTTCTGAACTGGGCCACATCTCTACTTTGGATGGCCCTGTGTATAAAAAAAAAAAAAAAACAACAACCAAAAAACCCCCAAAGTTAGGTGATTGTTAATTAAACTTGGAAATATGGCTATGATTTCACAGTAATCTATACTATAATGGTTTCTCAGCTGGGTTTGAGACAAGTTGTCATTTGTATACTGAGATGAATTTTATTATTGTTCTTAGGTACTACTGAAGTAATTCCAATTCAGAGTGAAACTGTGAACAGAATGAAACACTGAGCTCAATGCTGCAGCCATTGTGTAATACCTTCCAATCTGAGAGGCTCATCTAATATCAACCAATGCTCCACTGTTATTTAAAAAGCATTTCCACTGGCACTGGCCAGTTTCTTTTGGAAGTAAACTGTCAGGCCCTTCCTGCCTTTGTCTGGAAGCTCCACTGAAACCTATGCCCATGGGTAACCTTACCGGTATTTTAAATATTGGTAGCATCGCTTCCAGCATCACTGCAACACTCAACCCAGCACAGTACAACAAACAGACACTGATAGATGTATTAGAAAACCTCAGTCTCATTGTTGTCAAGTCGGAAACGACTCCTAGTTGATACTCCAGCAGGTTTTCAGAGGCTGTAAACTGCATAGGAGGAAATTGCCCATCTTTCCCCTGTGGAGCCACTGCTGGATTCAAGCCACCAGAGAGGGGCCACTTGGGGGTAGCTGTGCCTCTCCCTATGAACTACATCACCAGTGCTCAATGGATGTGTTAACTCAACTCACTGCTGCTGAGTTGGAACAGACTCATAGCTGACCCTCTCCACTAGGTTTTCAGAAGCTGTAAACTGCAAAGGAGAGGATATTCACCCATCTATCTCCCACAGAACAGCTGGGGGATTTGAACTGCCTGCCTTTCAATTGGCAACTCAACTCCTTACATACTAGGCTATAATTGCTGCTGTTGTTATGCACCAATTAGTCCAAATCAACTCACAGTTAACCCTACAATGGGTTTTCAGAGGCAGTAAATTGCATAGGCAGAGACTGCTCCTTTTCTTCCCACAGAGCAGCTGATGGATTCATATCACATACCTTTGGGTTGGCAGCAAGAATTTTTTTTTAATTCATTTTAATGGAAGTTTACCCAGATATGCCTGGTTCGAATCCACGAGATGCTCTGCTGGAGAAAGAGGGACAATCTCCTCCTGTACCAGTCAAATCTGATTTGACGGTACAATGCACAAAAAAATAATAATTTTAAAAAATTCTTAATGGACGTTTACAGAGACTTAGGGTTTCCAGTCATTCATTGTTGCACTTTTCTCCCTGCCCAACCTCTTCCCCCAATTCACTCTTCTCTTTGAAGAGTAAAAGAAAAATTCTTTCATTGTTATACAATTCCCCCCCCCAGTCCACTCTACTCTTCAGCCTTCATTCTGGATTCCTGTTATGACAATAATACCTAATCATATACTGTTTCAATGTAGTATACATTATTTATTCCCTCTTTTTCAGTCTTCCCTCAACCCCAATGTCAGTCTCATTTTACAACAGTGGCTCTATTCATATTTGTCCTTTTGTTATTGAGATATTTCACTCAGCATAACGTCCTCCAGGGTCACCCATTTTGTATAATATTTCATTAGTTCCATGTTTTTTAATGCTGCATAGTATTCCATTGTGTGAATATACCAGAGCTTCTCTATCCATTTGTTTGTTGATGGGTGCTTGGGTTGTTTTCAACTCTTTGCTATTGTGAACAAAGCCAAGATAAACAAAGATAAACATGGGTGTGCATATATCTGCTTGGGTGGCGGTTATGGTTTCTTTGGGGTATATTCCTAGTAATGGAATTCCTGGGTCAAATGGTATTTCTATTTGCATCTTTTTGAGAAAGTGTCATACTGTCTTCCATAGTGGTTGCACCATTTTACACTACCACTAACAGTGAATAATAAGGGTTCCAGTTTCTCCACAACCTCGCCAGCATTTGATGTTTGCTACTCTGTTGAATTTTGCTCTTCTTACTGGGTGGGACAATATGTCATAGTTTTGCATCTCCCTTAGAGCTAGAGATTTTGAACATTTCTTCATGTGCTTGCTGGCCATTTGAATGTCTTCTTTGGTGAAGTGGGAAGCATTAATTCTTACCACCAGAGCGCCCTAGACCATAATTATTGTTGTTGGGTACTGTCGAGTAGGAACTAACTCATAGCTGGCCCACCAGTAGGTTTTCAGAGACAGTAAATCCCATGGGAGGAAATTTTCCATCTTTTCCCCATGGTGGATTCAAACCATATGCCTTTGCTTTAACAATGTTGTTGTTGTTGTTATGTGCC